ACAAAAGACTTAGTCTGTGTCATCAGAGTCTATCAAATAAATGGGGAACTAGTCCAAAATCTGTTTCTACTCAGTGAACAGGCAACAGCAAGCTTCTTTAGGATGATGTTGAAGTTAATATTTAAGGCAATCAGATAGAACAAATTATGAGCATTTAAAATTAAAGAACCCCAAATTACCTTTTTCTTCTATTTCTTAAAAGTAAATTCTTAATTAAAATAACCACTGGATCACATCAACTATCTATCTTCTCTCCAACAAGATACTTGCTCAAAATACAAGAACAAATATATGGTGTAAAGAAAGCATTACTCAAATACCAACTCCAGTTTAGGATAACATTTGCATCAAGATGAAGAGATCGTTCAGTTGATCCCACCTAATACAGTAGACACACTATTTCATAACACTTGGCCTCCACTATACTGGCCAGCAAACCTAAAGATGTACAGCCAAATGCTGGTGGATAATACTAGACAAGGATGTGCTGTTCCATACTGCCACTGCCCACAGCTTAGCAACAATTGTGCTGATATTAACTTTTGGAATAATTTAATCTAATGCCTTAATTGGCACAAGAACACTTGACACCTTAATTTAGGAGATTTAACAATTATCACCGATTAGAAGGCATGGAATGACTACTTGTTATTTTACCCATGGCTAAAAATATAGTTATACAGAAGAAGTCCTTCCCTTCTACTAATTAACGACAAGAGTAATGGATTAAATGACCTTACAATAATTAGTACATGGATTCTTGGTCTACCTTTTAAAATCTATTTTATAAAATAATGGGTAGAGGTATATCAATTATCTGTGTTGGCTTTTATGTTTTATAGATTCTACACTCTCTTTTGGAGGTATTCATAAACTTATTTTACAAGAGTATCACAATCAATAAAATATTTAAAACAATAAGATGTCATATGCAGATGCAAGTACAAATTTAGACAACACTTGTAGAGCAAAAGGGTCTTTATAGACTTACTATTTTTATTTTCATTGTTCCATTTTTGTGGTGCTTATTATAAACTTATTTTTAAAATTTAATGTTAGAAAATGTGGATATTTAACAAGCACTCTAGATATATACTATTAAAATTTTGCATAGCTGATAGTATAAGAGTATGTAAAATTTATTACATTTATATATAATGAAAATATTTGCACAAAAAACAGCCCTGGCCCAGTAAAGGCACAAACAGACCTCAGGGTTCTGTCTAAATGTAGCAGTTTGCAGAACTACAGTCTTAAAAATATTTCTAAAATATTTCCTATATTGTAGACTATTTCAAACAAAAAATTGACAACATATAATTTTCAAGAGGATTAAATGTGTTATGTGGCAGCAGAAGAGAAATAAAAGATTTTAGTACATCCACATTTTGAATCTGAAATACGTGAGTGAACACATCTTACTGGATAGTCTAAATAAAATATTTGGGGCATTCAACAGGCCCACTCCCGCTCCAACTGAAGCTGATGGCAAAACAGATGTGATCTTTATTCTGGAAGGTAGATATTTATGTAATACAATTTATATACTGATTTGACTACTCTGGAAATACTACTGAAATCAAAAACTCCATATGAGTGTCAGACATTTGGATTCCCTAAGTTACAGCTGCCAGTCAGGAGAAGAGAAACAAACAAACAAAAAAAAGTATGCAGCAATTATTTATGCAACTATTCATTAAGCAAATTAACTGCTGTAGTTTGCACGGTACAGTACTGTCTTTAAAACCAAAAGCTTTTTATACAAATGCTATGTTAACAGAGCATATTAGACGTGACACTTAAAAACAACTAAACCAGGCAATTCCAGTTTAAGAGAGTTGCTTCGATTTCACTCAGCATGTGGTTACCAAGTAAAGTAGAGGGTCTCAAAGGGCATGGTTCTATATTCATAGAAACTGCAATTACTAGGCAGAAGCAAGCAGCTAAGGATGAAATTAGATTGTCATCGTTTTGTTGCTTTAAGTCAGAAGCTTAATGTAATTTTAACAGACTTTTAAAAAAAAATGCAATGCACAAGAAATCTTCCAATGAAATTGTATAGAGTCCCTAGGTCCCTCATTCAACATGAATAGAATTATTACAGTTCTGCAATGAACACTGTTACAACTTCAAGCATTTTCCTAGGAGCAGAGTACCCCTCTCCCCCCCCCCACCACACACATAATGACTCTATATTGTAATTGCCAAAATTCTGAACAGGAAGGTTATTATTACATATTCTGTACAACTCTTTCTCCACAAAACCCAGACACCCTGTTGCAGTAATACTACATTATAAGTTTAATAGCTTCAATTGCAATGGAGAGAAGAGGAGAATTCTGCAGAGAAATCATGTCACACCTATAATACATTAAATCAAATAAACTGGATATTAAATACCTTGAAAAGTAGACACCACGGTTTACAAGAAGATGCCTACTACAGTCTAATCACCCAAATTGCTTATGAAATAAAATCTGGTGGGTTATGTACGGGGTTTTTAAAAATAATTTCTTTAGCTAATCCATACAAATTAGCAAAATGTTTAGCCCTGTGATGGTCAGATGCATCCATTTCAATATAAATTCTGAAGAGGAAAAAAAAACTTAAGTAAACTGACATTAAAAAAAACAAGCACAGACTTAACACCAAAACAAAAACCACTGTTGAATTGTCTCATTTTTTATTTTACAAAGAAACCAGCAAGAAAATAGTTAAGATTAGTATAATTATCTATGAAAGGCATGTTCTGACAACAGTACAGTATCTTTTGAGAAATCTCTACTTTGTACTTTAGAGCAGTGGTTCTCAGCCAGGGGTCTGGAGCCCCCTGTGGGGCCATGAGCAGGTTTCACGGGGGCCGCTGAGCAGGGCTGGCATTAGACTTGTTGGGGCCAAAGGCAGAAAGCTGAAGCCCCACTGCATGGGGCTAAAGCCCGGTGACTAAAGTCCCACCACCCAGGGCTCAAGCTGAAGCCTGAGCAACTTAGCTTCATAGGGTCCCCTGTAGCATGGGGCCCTTGGCAACTACCCTGCTTGCTACCCCCTAATGCTGGCCCTGGCTCTTATATGCAGAAAAACAGTAGTTGTGCGCCGTTATAGCATATTGGGGTGCCTCAGGAAGAAAAAGGTTGAGAACCCCTGCCTTAGAGGTAATCTGTGCTCTTCTTTCTGCAGCTCACGATAAAGGCAAATCAATTTTTAGTTACAATAGGCCAGATCTTGATCAAGTATTCCCACTAAAATCAAACACACTAGATTACCCAGATCTAAAACCTAAATGCAAGAAATTAAAACAAATAAGAAAATATCAAAATAGACATATAGCAATGTATCCCTAGGATGCCTTTAAGCACCTTTATTATTTAATTAGTGCTTTTGGTTTGTTTTTATTTCGGTTTTTTGTTTGTTTTTAAATGGATGAAACCCTCTAAGTCCTTTCTCAGACAGAGCTATTATTTACCAAAGTCTTTATTCAATTTTTTGTAACAAATCCAATACGTGTCCTAAGAAAGAGACAACCTTTTATACTTTCATTTACTTTACAACTGAATATTTCGGACACACAAAACGAACTCAATCAGTAGTTATAGCCTGTGCAATAGAATTCTATTTATTTATTTCACTATAAATAAATGAAGCTCTAAACTCAGAAAAAGACAGGCAAACCTATGTCTACTTCCATAGCCTGGCTGAGAAGCCAGACAGATTTTTGCTGACTCAGGCCCTGACTGCTTTTGGCAACTGATCTGACTGAATCAGTTCAACAAATGACAAACTGATCATTCCAAACTGAAGTGATCCATCATGAGGTATTTCAACTTTTAGCAGAAACAGCAATTGAACTGAGCCTTACACACACACAAAACAAAAACAAATGGCAGAAGGACTGATTTATTCTCAACTTTTGTCCACAGATCAGTGCATTAATCCACATCTGCAATTATAAAACTGATGGTCTTGTACACTCTCTTCTGCATACTCTCAGCAAAAGATACGTTATAAATATAGTAGTCAAATGGGACTTGTCCCAATCCCATTAGAGACTCAAACTACTTTGCCTCCTGCATAGGCTGTACCTAGACTCCCTAGGAGAGGTGAGCAACTAATTCATAATGAAAAATTTATTTAACAAATTTTACTTCCTCTTCTGTTTGTTAATTTTCCACTGATTAAGAGTCTCCAACGTATTCATTAATCAAAATTCCCTTTCAAATATCAATGACTTATTCTTGCTCTGGGAGGTTGTTTTCGAACAAGTATCAGTCTACATTTGAATTGTGTTATTTGAACACACAGGACAGATGAAGCAATGTATTCTCTTAGCCAATGAGAAACTTTAGAACCAAGTTTGCAGTACAAATATTCAGAAATATACATTCAAATTTGCTTTCCATGACTATTTCTGTTCTAATTTAATCTTCTGAATGAACATTAGAGGGAGGGAGGTTTTTGGGTGGATGCCAGGGGCGGGGGAGAAGGAGAAAGGGTGGCTAAATATTTGCCAATCTCTACCCCCTATGCAGTTAAATCAAACATGATCCTGATGGCTCTGTATGGAAGAATAGGTAAAAGGTGTTTTTTTTCGTTTTTAAGTTTTCTGACTAGAGTTAAACCAAACTTAATTCAACATGTACCATAATAAATGCAATTACATAGACTCTGCATATCAACTGATTTGCATGTCAGTCAAGTTTTTCCTTTATGAAAAACTCTTCACAGAACTGTGGTTTCTCCTACACAAATACTTCCATGTAAATGGGACTTGTATATTTAATTTTATTTATACCAAAATGTCTGAGCTGCTAATATGCTAATCATTTAATACTAAGATAAATTAACATAACCAACAAGCTGAACCAAATACAGTAATATGAATCAGAATGCTTAAGATTCTGATATTTTACATACATAACATAACACAGTCCAAGTTCCAGGTCAGGACAAATTCTTCCAAGCAAATCTGTGACCTTTGTACATAATTTAGAACTTGGGCTTACCCCTTAGAGCAGGCAGCAGTGACCTCTCTTTCTTGTCATCACATTTGTTACATTCACTGAAGTACAAGAGTAAAAAGACATCCACAAGCACCCACATCAGAGAGGTGGCGAGAACCACCTTGCAGTAGACAAATCTCCTCATCTCTTGTCTTGGATTTTAGTTCACACACTGAGTAAAGATGGCTATTGCTGGGATGTATCCAAGCCACGCGGTTAAATTCCAGTATGAAAGTGAAGTCGAGAGCATCCACTGCAATTAAAGAAAAAATATTTTAATTACCTACCAAGTATACATGGTTTAAGGTGCAAAATGATACAAGCATAATGCTGAGATGCTTTTACTCTATTTTAAAAATTAATCTATTTTCCTTTCTCCTGTATCTAAATATCCTCTTTGTAATGACAGGTTTCAGAATAGCAGCCATGTTAGTCTGTATCTGCAAAAAGAACAGGAGTACTTTTGGCACCTTAGAGACT